TTTATTCCATTTTTCAATTGCTATTGAGATCACCCTACCACAAGAAGATAACTGCCTGTGTATACTGGTATACCTGTGACCACCGTCAGTTTATTGGCATACATGTGACCAGCACAGCAGCTCCAGTACTGTGAAGTCATCTGAAGTATTCTATTTATAAGACAACATAATGTGTTTTGAACAGCACTTAGTCACTCTTAGAGGGTATTTCTAATGAAGGTATGACACTTCCTAGGAAACTGCTTTCCAATAAATACATTTTAAGAAATTAAATGGGACACAAGGTGCATCTACCTGAGACGCTAAATGAGCAGTAGACTAATCTACTGTACATTAGCATGTCACAGCAAAAGATGCATTAATGCACTAATGTGCAGCAGAATTAATCTACTGAGCATTAACATCACTTAACAGGTGTGCGCTGGCACTACTGCACAGTAGCATTTATTGCGCATTAAGTTAGTTCTTGCTATTATAGGTACTAAACTTAATGCATAGTAATTACTGCACATTGATGCATATGTAGACACACCCGTGATGTAGCTAGCCACTACAACCCTGAGCAACATGCTGATCGAGTGGCATACAGCCTGATCAAAACTTACAGAAGCGATTAGTAAACTTTACTGATTCCAGTGGGTTAAGATTGGGCACTATGTTATTAGAGTTCTACACAGCCAAGAAGGAGATGAAAACATCTGATTCCTGACTTCGCTTTCTCAGCTTGTGTGATGGCACAGACTGAGAATGCTGCAAAAGCAAAATGCCCACACCCTGCTGTGTTCTCTCTCTGACTGATTCAGGAACTGGATGAATCAAATAGAGTTCAAAGGGATCAACCATGAGAAACTGAAGATTTAGTAAGTGAAAAGGGTTAAAATGTAGAAAAAGAAATCACAGTAGGAATCCCTGAGGAAAGGGGAAAGGGTGTAGAACATCCACAGAAGGGAAAGGCACAAGGCAGCAGTGACAGCACATGAAATAGAATAGTAACTGAAGGTTGTTCTCTGAACACTCCCAATTTTTTCTTGGACAAGCTTGTCATAGTTCTTGTTTGTAAAACCAAGTTTATTTTTTGCAGCAAAAAACCCCACACCTGTGACCAGATTCATGTGGCATTTTTAATACTCTCCTGTTTCCTTGCAAAAAATTATTTTGCTTCCACTTCTCCCATTTTAACTAACAAAAAGAGCAAATCAAAATTAAATCTAAAATGCATGAGATGTTGACTATGAGAACAAAGGTAGCTCCCTAATGATTTGCAAAGCAGTGGTGTGAGACTGTTAGTTGCTGGGCCTCATTACAATATCTTCTGGGTTAGTAGTTAATTAGTTTCCCTTTGTCATCTGTCTTCTTGCCAGCTTCAGGGTATCTCTACATACAGCACTGGTTTCACAGTCTAATTTGGTAACACACAATTTAAAATTCCAAGACGCTGGTCCATGATTATAATGGTACAAAAATTAATCTGGTGAATGAAAAAGCATCTACAAATCACCGCTTTGAGGAAGTCTACAGCACCTTTTTAAACAAGTGAAAGCTATAGATATCAAGCAGTGCACAATGTAAATTGCTTCAAGCAACATTACATTCATCATCTGTAGATGGGTAATCCCTATGCTTCTCTTGTTCCACAGTGGTTAGTGGTCTGGAGGTATGCAAATGCATTCTGACAAAAGACATAAGGATAATAAACTAGTATTAAGAGCCATTGTTGGAACTGAATCCTGCAAAAGGGGTTAGCACTCATCTGGGTACTGTGCTGAGTTCATTAAATTCTTCAGTGGAGCATTTACACTGCTACTGTGTTGTCCCAAATGAGAAGGACCTAATAGCTCTCATTGCTTATTGGAAAATATTCCTTTTAAGTTCAGGAGTGTGCTGAGGATAGAGCTGCATAAGGAACCTAGGTGGAGCCAATTTGTCCTCTGCTATAAACTGTAGTTCTGCTTACTGTTCCAGCTTCTGAGTGGTCTGGAAAGTACAGAATGCAGGATTGAGATGCATACCTATTTGGAGAGAAATTAATTGGCACAGAAACAAGTCACTGTATCCTCATCTGATTTCAAAACAAGTACATGCGCCCCTAAGCAGCAGAGAGACTGGATTGCCAAGCACAGTTTTGATTGTGATTTGCATGTTTTCTGAATTGTGAACAGTTGTGAATTGTGATTTACACAGACTAAGAATCTAGGGCATTCACAAGGGTGAGAGCAATGTATCATTCTTATCCCGTGGTACCTTTAGGCTAACTATGAACAGTAGCTACAGAACAGCCGCACAGCACTTTACCATCCAAGAAAATTGCTGCAAAAAGACATACCTTTGCAACATACAATATCAGCATAGTCTGCTGGGCACACACACATCTCATTCTTGCAAGACCTACAAGACTAAGGGATATTTTATGGTGAATCAGAGAGTCAAGGCAGTGTTGCTAGAAACATTTTAAAAACTGATTACAGCTGAGGTAAAGGTTGAACTGGCCCCAGCAGGCTTCGGGTAGAAGACTGACAGACAGACCTTCTTGCGTCACCTCCCTGACTCATGCCAATACAACTGCTCTGATCCAGGTTGATTTTAATGAATGGCCAGAAGTGGCCATTTGGAGTAAGAGCCCTGAACAGCATTATATATTAGGCAAGAAGATAGAATCCAAGGAATGAAACTACATTTGAAATAGTCTTTGAGAAAAGCCTGTGGAAACAGTTGTTTTAGAACTGGCCTGCAGGAGCCCTGAAAGTAGTGCACTATGTGTGTGTGAATGAAACTGTGCTTTGCAATCCAGTCTCTCTGCTTAGGAGTATATGTACTTGCTTTGAAATTAAATGAGGATACAGTGACTTGTTTATGTGCCAATTAATTTCCCTCCAAATAAGTATGCAGCTCAATCCTGCATTTTGTACTTTTCAGGCCACTCAGAAGCAGGGACAGAAAATTTGCCATTTTTACAGTCTCCAAGAAAGATTCTGTTACCAGCATCCTAATAATGGAAGGATTGGTGTGAAATATTGGCCCCACAATTTTGTTTGTAGAGTCCAGAATTCACAGTTACTCTGAAAGCTTTCCATTTGTATAATATTATCCTGATTAAATGACAACATCAATGTCATCTGCGGCATGCTTTTAAAGGCTACGCTAAGTTTAATTTGCAGATGTAAGTACATCCATATTCTAACATTAATTTCCAAAATAGAGAGTTTTTACCCTGCCAGGTGTTGTGTATTGAAATTAATCTAAATAAAGCTTTTCTATCATGTCATTCTAATCTGCAATTTCAAAATGGAAGAGTTGTCTCATTAAACTGACAGCTAAAAGACAGGAAGCCAAGGAGTAACTAAAAATGGTAACTTAATAACATAGAAAGACGACCCAGGGAACAGGTCAATGGATCTTTTGAATTTTTGTTACTGTTTTTAATTAGGTTTCTGCTTGAACAAAATATTCAAGTTTCCACTCATCAGCTGTCAGCTGCAACATGTAATTGAAGCAGTCAAACACAGAGGAATTACATCATTTCAGCACCTGGTTTAACTCATGCCAGCCTTTGTTCAATGGAGATGAATATGCAATAATCAGTCATCAAAAAAAAAAAAAAAAAAATCAGAAGGAATATCTGCTAAATTAAAAGGGGGGGATTC